TCTTTGCCCTCACCTTGGGGAAGGATGAACCCCTCTACCTGCTGGGGCCACCACCTTGGGCAGGTGCAAACATTGTTTTCAGACAAGAGCAACAAAGAGTGAGCTACCCCTGACATATTCAGGGAAATCAGCTATTGGATTTTAATCCAAATGTCTCCCGAGGTGGAGGCGGGGCACAGAAAGGCTTGGGTGAGCCTGGCCACCTCCTGCCACGCCGCGTGTCTGGCTCAGGAGTGGAGCAGAAGGGCGCTGGGAGCTGAATGAGTTTTCCTGAGGTGTGAACTCAAGTTACTCAGCACTGTTCTGTGGGGGTTGAACTCAAATGTTTTGCCAAAACAACTGCAGAAGAATAAACAAAAGGAAGGAAAGTAGAAAGGGATACAACCCTCTTAATAATCCAATTAAAATGAGAACCTAATCTGCCTATTTTCTTTTTTTTTTGAATTTTTTTAATTTATTTTTTATATAGCAGGTTCTTACTAGTTATCCATTTTATACATATTAGTGTATATATGTCAATCCCAAACTCCCAGTTCATCCCACCACCACCCCCCTGCCACTTTCCCCCCTTTAATCTGCCTACTTTCTAAAGCCATTGCTTTAGAACCAGGCCACGTGCTCAGCACTGCCCTGTGGTTTGGCAAGGAGTGTTCAGCACACGCTGCAGCAAGGCAGCCCAGGGGAAATATTTGGAAGAGACTTATAGGAAAAGAGGTGATTAATGGGAAGCATGGTGGTAGGACCTCCCCCACTCCCTTCCAAAACATTTCTTGAGCACCGCTTACATGCTGGCACAAGTACCACGGGGACAACGATGAACAGACTGCCCGGGCCCTCATTCTGTCCACAGCACGTGGAGGCACAGGCCTTTAAGGCGACTTGCTAGCAATGGGCGGGGCTGAGACTTGCTTTTAGGCTGTCAGAGTCCAAACCCACTGTGTTGGGAAAAAGACCAAAGTTTGGATGGCCAGCTCTTGGCAGCCTGGAAAGGTGTGTCTGCGGTTTCCTGCTCTTCTCCATCCTGTATAAAGGCCCTTCTTTCTCACCACTCCTCCTCTTCCCAGCAGAGGCCCCACCCAAGAAGGAGGCTTTTCTCCCTGTGTGCCAGGAAAGGGCTCCCTTGATTTCTTCCAGGTCCAAAGGGGAAACTGGACCTTCAAAAAAATTGTCCGAGCCGCTACATGATCTCCAGGAGCACGCTTGAATGGGTGTATGTATGTATCTATCGAGCTACCTTTGGCTCTGAACCTCCTTTTGGCCATTTTTCAATGGGCTGTTGGAACAACTTGCTTCCCAGTGAGAGCACCTGCCCCAGTGATTGACAGACGCCAAGGGAAGGGCCACATCCATCTCAAAGAACATCAGTCAGGTCTGCCCACCTAGCAGTTTCAAGTTGGAAGGAGGCTGGGGACTGGTAACATGGCCATATGGGGAGAAGGTGCAGTCTTTCCAGCTCTGCACACTAGGTGTGCTTGCTTGCCCTGCAGGCCAGCGCACACCGGGCAGCTGTTATTCCCTCTCCTAAGAAGTGAGATGAGGCACAGCTGAATTCAGAACTAGCCCCAAAGAGCTCCTCTGAGTGACTCTAGCAGAGAAAAGAATAAGCTTCCATGCATTTCCCGGGCTGGAGGGCACATCACCAGTTGCAATCGCCTGATGCTTCTCACTTGGGGCTTTTAGGGGCTCATGGAGTTACAAAGCAGTTAGTCTTATCTCCCTTTGTGGACTTCCCTCCTCCTTCCCCTGCCCAGAGACGGAGGATTCTTGGACGTGGGGGTGACACTGACCTTTGGCTAGGCTGTGCCTGTGCTGACAGAGATGGAGCCAAGACTCAGCAACTGTGAGTGGAGAGAGAGCCGAAGCTTCAAGGCAAGGGTCTTATGCAAAGGATCTAACCATCTTTTGTCTGGTGGGACTGTTGACATTTCTGTTTATAACTGATGCATTTGTACAACCGGGACACACTTTAGAGGGGGAAACACCCTTTATCCAAATATCCAAGTACTATAGGAAAATGAACATCTTACTTTTCACAATACCAAACAAGATTTGATTTTCTTTTCATACACATGGGTTTTATTTTGATGGGCTAGTCTGGTAAATCCTATAATAATGTCAGTTTTTCTGATTGACATTGATTACATGATTTATCATGGCTTTTTTTTTTCTTTTTCCAAATAAAAGCAAACTGGAGTGATTTGGAATTACAATAGATAATCTCTCCCTTGTCTTTTTCTTTTTTTTTTTTTGCGTTACGCGGGCCTCTCACTGTTGTGGCCTCTCCCGTTGCGGAGCACAGGCTCCGGACGCGCAGGCTCAGCGGCCATGGCTCACGGGCCCAGCCGCTCTGCGGCATGTGGGATCTTCCCGGACCGGGGCACGAACCCATGTCCCGTGCATCGGCAGGTGGACTCCCAACCACTGCACCACGAGGGAAGCCCCTATAAGGCTTTTGAGGGTGGAATCTAGAGTCTTTTGCATCTCCTTGCACACCATTTCCCAAAATGTACCTCTGGTTCATGATTTTAGATGGCATACAGGTGAACGTTATTATTTTTTTTAATTTCAAGACTGGTATAAATTATCCAGGGCTTCACAAATGCTATTGTTTGGGACGAGTAAAAAGCACTTAAGTGGATCGATGTTCAACATCACCAGTCATTAGGGAAATGCAAATCAAAACCACGTAAGAGGGGCTTCCCTGGTGGCACAGTGGTTGGGAGTCCGCCTGCCGATGCAGGGGACACGGGTTCGTGCCCCGGTCCGGGAGGATCCCACATGCCGCGGAGCGGCTAGGCCCGTGAGCCATGGCCACTGAGCCTGCGCGTCCGGAGCCTGTGCTCCGCAACGGGAGAGGCTACAACAGTGAGGCCTGCGTACCACAAAAAAAAAAAAAAAAAAAAAGGAATGAAGTTCTGACACATGCTACAACATAGATGAACCTGAAAACAGTATGCTAAGTGAAATAGACCAGTCGCAAAAGGATATACACAACTCTACTTATGTGAAGTGTCTAGAATAAATTCATGGACCCAGAAAGTAGACTAGTGCTTGCCAGGGGTTGTGGGGAGGAGGAATGGGGAGTTAGTGTTTAATGAGTTTCAGTTTGAAAAGATGAAAAAGTTGTGGAAATGGATGGTGGTGATGGTTGCCCAACAATGTGAATATATGTAATGCCACTGAACTTTATACTTAAAAGTGGTTGAAACGATAAGTTTTATGTTATGTATATTTTACTGCAATACACAAATGAGTTGATGTAAAGAAAACAATTAAGCACAGGTGATGTGGCCCTTATAAGGTAGAGTGTGAATGCCCAACTTTGGAAAACACGGTCCAGCCTTGCCCACGGTGTGGTTAGGGATTACAGGAGTTGCATGCAAATGAGAAGCCTTCTTTCAATACTCTGTTTTTTTCTGTTTAAAGTTTTTTTTCTATTTCTGGGCTAAAAAATGTTTTACACTACTTTGTGGTCAATAGGAAGGTAGAAAGAGAAGAAATGTGACATTTGTTGAGAAACTTTTTGTGCTAGTGTTTTATTTTGTTCACTTCATTCTAACAACACTGTGGTGTAGGGACTAACCCGGTTCAAACTGGGAAACTGGGCCCCACTGCCAGTAAGTGAACAGAACAGCCCTCCCCACTGGGCGGCCCACCCTCACGCTCTGAGCTCTCTGGGGTATCCCTCACTGCTTCCCTGCCTATCCCATTTTCACCTTCTGTCATAGGACATTGAAAAAAAATTCCACTCATTTGGAATTTTCCGTGGATCCAGCAGTACATAAATAACGGAAGCAAATCTTGTCCCTCACAGCAGAACACACACACTAAAGCCAGAAACAAAACTGGGCACCACTCTGAGCTCTTGCCACTTCCAGATTCCTCAGTTTTAAGCCTGTTGTAGTCATCTCGTTCTATATGAAAACAAATATACGCCCTCACCGTGGAAAACAGAGAAGTGCAGAGGAAAAAATCCCACCACCTAGAAATAACCACAGTTCACACATTGGTCAACGTACTTCCCACTTTTACTGGGCAGACCAGATACATATTTTCAAAATGGGCTTTACAATGTATAGTTTTATCACCTGGCTTACAACTAAATATATTGTGAACATTTTCTCTTTTACCACTGTTAAAATAATTGCATAGTATGGAGAAATCATAATGTATTAAGCACTCTTAATAATACATTGGGGGAATTTAGATATAATTTTTTTTCAAGGACTTTATTCTCTTTCCAAATCCTTGAGAAAACAGGTGTCCTCGTCTTATACAGCTTCCTACTGATGATAGAAACTTGCCCTTCAACTTAAGCTTTTTAATCTGCTTCTCTGTACCATCTGATCAATCAAGTAATGCATTTTATTTTCTCAAATTTCTCATTTGCTCCCACTTTTCTACCTAGTCTCCCAGGGATACACACACATTTCCATTACTCCAGCATCCTGTCTCACCTCTGATGTCTGCCCCCTCCCTTCTCCTTTGCTCCCCTTACAAATGCTTCCTTTCCTTTCATTTTCAAGATACTTTTTAAAAAATTAATTTATTTTATTTTATTTTTGGCTGCATTGGGTCTTTGTTGCGGTGCGCAGGCCTCTCATTGCGGTGGCTTCTCTTGTTGCGGAGCCCGGGTACTAGGTGTGCGGGCTTCAGTACTTGTGGCACCTGGGCTCAGTAGTTGTGGCGCACAGGCTTAGTTGCTCTGCGGCACGTGGGATCTTCCAGGACCAGGGCTTGAACCCGTGTCGCCTGCATTGGCAGGTGGATTCTTAACCACTGCGCCACCAGGGAAGCCCTTAAGATACTATCTTAATTGATTCTGATCACAACTCTATTCAATGCTTTATGCTCAGTTCCACATTGGGAGTAACCTTTAATAATCTGTAGATAGAATTCAATTGTTTAAAAGAAACTATTAATAAGCCCTTGGTAGAGTTACATGTATCAAGAAACACAGGACTTGGGAACAAGATATGGCATTTTTTTTTTTTAAGTAGTTTTTTGGAGAGGGCAGGGAAAAGGAAAGTAGTTGGTACTTTAAGGAAATGTTAGGGACCATAGGGAAATCTATTCACCATTTCAAGACTACTAACAAATGATCATCTCTCAGTTGGGACATTGGAGAGACAGCCTTTAAAGGTCATGAAAGCTGCATGGCAAATGCTGCACACAAATGTGGGTTAATAATAACTTTGTATAGCAAGGCAGATGCCAGGTAGCATAAAAGCACATGCAGACAGCGCTAATTCTGGAGTCCCGGAAGCTGTGAGGTGCTCCTCCATCACATGGCCATCTGGAAGGTAGAGACACTTGGTCATTAAAGGAAATCCCTCGGGCACTTTATCCTGTTGGCAAACACGTGGCACATCTACACGAACCCAAAAGCAGTTAGGGCCCAAGATTTGATGAGTACAATGTGCTTATGGGATCAACAGTACCGATTATGTGCACTTAGACTCCCCTGAGAAAATATTGCGACAAACTGTTAACTTGATCTTCCCTGGATACATGCTCTCACACCTGGTAACCTACCCCAGCCGGTGACGCCTATAATTGCTGGCGTGTGGCAGAACTTGGTTAGGCTCTGATGCTAAGGAGACAGCACATTTTGCATCCCGAGTTCCAGGGAGAAAATATGGTCCCCACCTATCCAGCCATTCCACCCACACCTTCCAGTCACCTATCCTGGGCCTGATACCCAATGCAAAAGGAAAAGACAATCCCTGCCTGGATTGGGGTCCCATGTTGTACTCAAGGAAGCATTTGTTTTCATTTTCAATTTGTTGAACATTTTCAATTTCTGACACATGCAGGGTCAGAAGTAGGAGAGGTCTCTGAACTAAGGTGGCCCTAGAAATCTGGCTCAGGTTGGGGTAGGGAGCAAACCCTCTCCTCTTGTTCTCTTCTAGGTCCCTGCCCTTGTCATTGTTTTCCTCAAATCAGTAAAAATCAATGAGGTGAAAGGGTTATGAGACCAATCACCAGGGGGCGCCCTAGAGGGGCCTTTTAGGATCCCTGAAGAAGTTCCTAAGAAAGGAGAGTGCGGTCAGTTCCTCTGGTGGAATTTAAGGGCAATAATTGGAGTTGGGTGCCCCCAACCCTGCTGTGGGGTGGGCACTGAGCTGCCCCCCTGGAGCCTGTCTGGGTCTCCCTGCCCAAAGAAAGGAACGCCAGAGAGTGTCTCTTCGTGTTTAAGAGGCCAAGTCTTTTCTTGTTTATTTGCCTCTATAGAAGTTCACATACTGTAGAATGTCAAATAGACTTGAAATAACTCTCCACCTGAAAGGCAGCACGACTGGCCACATATTGAGGAAGTAAATATCAAGGACACCAGGGCGACCATCCCATCTGGAGTCCTTGATGCTTTTACAGGGAGAGCTCTGGCTGCCAGTCTTCAGCAAGCCATGAGGTAAGAGGAGAGACCCTGTTAATTAAGTGTCCACAGGCAACTAACTAACCTGAGAGGGCAAAAGGGGCAACCCTTTGCTTACCACAACCAGGTAGGAAAGGCTGAGGAAAGCAGCGGAACTGGCCGTGCCAGCATTTACACATGGAACACTTTCTGGGCAGCCAGGTGTCATGGGGCACAGATCCACAGTTCCTGAGGATGAACGGACATGCGGAGTTTAAATCCCCACCTCTCCTTCCCTCTCCTCTCCACCCCCAGCCCGTTTCAGTGGCTTACTCTTTGCGCATGTCATGCTCACAGTTCCGTCCATAGAAAGAGGGGGGGCAGGCACAAAAGGACCCCAGCATGCAGGTTCCCCCATTCAGACAGCAGGTTCTGTTTAGCTCCTTACCTGAAATGTAAGAAAAGTGGCTGAGAGGGTGGAAGGATTGAAAAACTGAATTCCCGTTAACCAAGGTTAATATGGCGGTAAGGACTTAATCTCCCCAAGTGTTGACAGATGTCTATAAACATTGTAAACCTAACAGAATAAGACTCTCCTTTTTAGTGTTCCTTTGGCCACCCGTGTTTTTGATCAGCGAAATCTTTTTTCATGCATAAGCCAGTGGTGGTACCTGGAGTCCCCAGCATGAAGTGGGATCAGGTGAGGGAAACTGCATTCTGCGGAGGTGAAGTACACAATGCCTCTCTGGCCCCCAGAATCAAAACCAGTCCAACTATTCATCTGCCCAGCTCCAGAACCAGGTACCCACTGCCTTAGGTGAAAGAGGGTCTAAAAGATACTCAGGAAACACGAGAAGGACCAGGATAGCAATACCGCACTGTAGATCTAAGGCAGGTACATCTTACTGTTCTGGATTCCCATGGATGGTACAAACTGGGAAGGCCGATGACGAATTGCAGGCTCCTCCTGGGACTGAAGGCCGTTGTCTCTGAAGGCCAGGTCTCCCTGTGATGGACGGGCAAGTTCACAGTGGCCCAATCCTGAATGACAAAATTAACTCCTTGCGTCTGTATTTCAGGCCACGTGAAAATTGCTAGTGATCAAAAAAGCAAAGTCTCTTACCAGTGACTAACCCCAGTTCAAATGCTCTGGAAAAGGCCAGGATCAAAATCATACTAGGAAGAGGAAATCAGACCTCCATTAGCAAAACAAAGCAAATAAAATCCCTTTGAATTAACACCTGGGTCTTCTCATCACAGGACCACAGACCGCTAGGGAGAAATTGTAGAGCACCACTTTCCTTTTTTTCTTTTTCCTTTCTTTTAAAATGGCTGATTAATTCACGTAACAACACAAAGAAAGATGATGAGAATAAAGTCCACCTAATCTCCAACTCTTTCCAATACGTGTTATTACTTCTTAGGCTGTGTCCTCATACGCACATAATTTTAAGTAGGTATAAATCTTTTATCTTCTATTTCACATGTTTTTTTCTCCTGCATATAGTTTTCATATAGGAATTTTAAATGCCTGGATGACATTCTATGTAATTTATGAATTCCATTTTACAAACTATTTCATTTAAACCAGTCATTTAAAAGATGTTCAAGGTTTAAAAAAATTTCCCATTATTCTTAACGGTTCCCAAATATTGAAAACCTGCCTATACCTTTAACCTTCTCAGAAGCAGATTCTTAATTTCGTTGTAATATTGACCTTTTCTAACAAGAGAGTAGGAAAACATTAGTCATTTCAGAGGCAGAGCCAGTGACCTGTTTGAAGATGTTAAAAGCCAATAGCAAAGGTGGATGCAACTTTAAGTTCCAGGTCTTTTGGAAAGACAGCGGCACTGTTGGCAGCTCTTTAAGGTTTGAACGAGATGAAGTCAAACAACAGAGAGGTGTAGGACATGTTTCCTAAGCTGGGAAACTAGTAATCAAAAGCTCACACTCAAGATTGGTTCATACCTGGAAGAAAAGCGCTCCATCTTTCTTTGGTCCATGGCTCCTAACAATTTAGAAAGAAAAAGATATTAGGCTGGCTTTAATTCACAGCCATTGCCAAAACACCCAAAGGAAAACGTTAATTTCTTGAAGTGAAAAATGGGCATTTAAGGAGAAAAATATCCCAGATGAGAAATATGGTCTCCCCAGAAGGTCTCAGAAGCAGGAGCCAGGATGCCGGAAGAAACTGGGGGGTTCCTCAGACAGGTCGGTCCTAATTAACGCTTTGAATAAAACCTTCAGGGAGATTCTCCTTCCTCAGCCACAAGCCCCCGGGTGGCGGGGACAGCCCTCCGGTGGGCGGGGAGGCGGAGGCCCGTGCGCATTACAATGCCGAAACACTCGGGGGTGGAGGTGAGAGGCGGTGAAGCCAAACAAAGAGAATGGAAAAGGCCATTATTGTAAAACTGTTGTTAATTAGCCCTACTGTCTCTATCATTAGTTTCGAGTTAAAAAGATCAGATTTACTCTTTGAAAGAAAGAAGAAAAAAAAAGCAAACCAATTACTCTTAACGGGGTGGTGATTCCAAGTTGGAGGAGTGGTGGAAAGTATTGCTGTAATCGGGAAAACCTGAACACCAGGTATGGGTCTCCCAAGGCGTTTGATATTTTATTGAAAAGTTTTATTTCCCGCAAATTTGCTTTCATCTTTGGTTTTCCAAGAACGGTGTGTTGAGCCCGTGCTCCGCCCCAGGCAGACTCAGGTGGTCGAGAAGGGTGCGTCTCAGCGGGGCGGGAGGGAAAGGCGAGGAAGCAGGTAGTCCAAACAGAAGTTCAGGGTCAGGAGGGGGGTTCCTGCCCTCGCAGGAGTGAGTGGGTGTAAATTCCAGGCGCACCTGAATTTGCAAGCGAGACTGGAAGGAAGCGGAGCCGGCGCCAGGGGTGGGGTGTGGGGCGAGGGGAGGCGGGCAGCGAGTGTGCGTCCAGGGCCTGCGCCTTCTCGGTGGCCTGCGCATCGGGGTGCCAGGCCTGCTCTAGGAAAATGTTCTGGAAACATGGCAGTCCGGCCTGGGAGGCCATTTCAGCCTTGCCACTGGGTTTCACTGCATTTTAACAGTCTCCCAGCGCCCACAGTGTGGCCTCTTCCATCCCTTCTCCGCCCTGCCCCCAACAACACGGGAATTAACCCCAGATTCAGCTGTGTCCCCTGTTACGCTGTAAGCCTTTATTTGGTGGTTCCCTGAAGCCCCAGACGCTGCTGCTGGAGAGGCATGTCACTTAGCCCATGGCCTCTAGAAACCAAGCAGGACCCTGAGGGGCCCTCCCAGGTACAAAAAGCCCCTCCATGTCCCTTGTCTCCTGTTGAGTCACAGAGGAGCAGGCTCAAGCAGCTAATGATTAGGACAATAGAGTCACAGAATCTTCAGTTCCTCCCTGAAGGACACAGTGTCTGATGCACATTCCTGAGCTGTGTTGCAGATACTATAACTGCCACCAGAGGGAAAAAGCTAACTGCATGATGACCAGACTGTAGCCATGACATGAGCTGCTCTGTCTTGAGCAGCACTGAATCTATGGCTAGCACAATTCCAAGAACTGGCCTCAAGAGAATGGGAAAAAACTGACCCTGGAGTTGAAGATTAACTGTGCTTAAAACAATCAAGATGACGGTGACACAACCTGGCTCCAACAGATCTTAGCCCACCATACTCCCCTATTTCAAGGTGGATGGGATTGGTTTATGAACCTATTTTCTTGGATTCCCTCTGGGATTAGGTCAATGCTTGAAGGAATCCTTAAATTGGGATTTTATCTTCTAGTCAAGGGATCATAATTGGCACGCCAGCTCTTTGCAAAACAGTTACTTAAAACGTTAGTAATGAGATGCCTCTTTTGGAATCTCAACAGGCATGTAAGGGAACCAAAGAATATTTCTTAACACCATGTCAGATCCTTCCACTCTAAGAATCCTTCGTCGCCCATGCTCAGCTTGAAGTTACAGAGACGTCTTCACCCCTTTTCCCTAGACATGGAAAGAAAATCCGGCAGTGGGGATTGTAACTGAGGAAATGAGACTGTAACTAGGGACTGTCAGCAACTCAGCATTGTTCCAAATCTATTTCTTTCTCCTTTTTTTGCCACACCACAAGGCTGGTGGGATCTTAGTTCCCCGACCAGGGATCAAACCCATGACCCCGACAGTGGAACCATGTAGTCCTAACCACTGGACTAACAGGGAATTCCCCCCAATATATTTCTTAATTATTACTATGCCTGACTTCTACCATTAGCTTAGCTTAGCTTGCCGCTGATGGAGAAACTGCTTGCTGCTTGATGTGTATGGAGATTGAGGATTAGTTTTTCTATAGACTTCACCCTTGTTCCTTATTCTCCAGGACTAAGTGACGAAAGATTTATGGGTCAGATAACGTTCCAACCACAATCGAGACCTGACGGCTACTTGGAACCACGTGATGGAGACAATCATCTCTGAAAATAGAAGACTGACCCCTCCCCTGCACGTAACCCTTTTCCCTCTTTTCCCAAGCAAAACCTGGGGGTTTGGGTCTTTGTGACATGAGTCTACCATCTCCCCAGGGTTGCTGGCTTCCTCAGTAAGGCTATCTTTCCTTTTACCCAACACTTGTCTTGCAGTACTGGACTCTTGAGCAAAGAGTCTCTTGGGAAAGAGACTCTTGGGGAAGAGGCAGGGATTTCCAGGAGTTGGGCCACTGCCCACATTTTGGCCTTTTATGGTCAGCCTTGGAACTGTCATGGCGCCTGTGGGTGTGTCATTTAGCATATGCTAATATATTACAATGAGTGCATAATGAGCTCAAGGTCTACCGGGAGTCAAATCTTCCACCATCTTGGGCCTGGTCAGCTCTAACCAGTTTTTTTTTTTTGTTTTTTTTTTAACATCTTTATTGGATTATAATTGCTTTACAATGTTGTGTTAGTTTCTGCTGTATAACAAAGTGAATCGGCTATACATATATCCCCATATCCCCTCCCTCTTGCATCTCCCTCCCACCCCTCTAGGTGGTCACCAAGCACTGAGCTGATCTCTCTGTGCTCTGCAGCTGCTTCCCACTAGCTATCTATTTTACATTTGGTAGTAGAGAGAGTCCATGCTACTCTCTCACTTCGTCCCAGCTTACCCTTCCCCCTCCCTGTGACCTCAAGTCCATTCTCTACATCTTTATCTAACCAGTGTTTGTCGTCTCCAGTTTTTCTCAACCACTGTGTTATTCTTGAAAGGTTGTGCCCTGCCCCCTTCCCTCCTGTTTCAGTTCTCTTGTCACCCATCTCTGTCCATTGGATTTACACCGTGGCAAAACGAATTGGCAGCAGCATCTGAAGCCATTTCAGCATCCGTGTCTACCTCTGTGAAGGCAACAGGTCCACAGGTGCTAAAGAAGAGCCGTTATTTGCTTCTACACCTGCATCTTGGGAGAATTAAACTTTAAATTATTTTAAGTGGGAGGTAGGTCCCCATCAAAGCAATGGTGGGATGCGATGCAGCCCATTTACTTATAGCTGGTAGCATTTTTACTCCACAGCAGCTCACTAATTCCTGCTGTGCTTCAACTCCCTGTGTGGCCTTTCAACTTGTTAAAAAGCTTCAAGTGTCATGCTGAGATTCAGAGAGAATGGGGCACTTGGCCGGCAGCTCTAGAAGCTGGATATGGGGAAGGCCAGTGCAGAGGAGAAAGCTAATCACCCAACCCCAGGAGTTGCACGAGGCTTAAAGAAAGTACAGTACATTCTTAGTACACTTTGTGCTTCACAGTCCTCAACAATCCGGTGTGCTGAGTAGATAACAGCATTGGCAATACTAGTCTCATTTTATGGATGAACCAAAGAATCCCATCTGTGGACTTAAATGTCTTTTTCCACAGAGGCTGGGCAGGTCTGTGGCAGAACTGGCAGCAGGACACCACCCCTGCATTGACACTTCCTTATTTAAAGGGGCTCTTGTGGAACTTCTGGACTTGAATTAGGATCCCTGGAAATCACCTCCCCACTTTCAGGAGGGAACCAAGGCCCCGAGTCTGCATGGCTGGTGTGTTCAGCCTGCAGCCCACTCAGAAGCTCTGTGTACCCAAAGACTGGAACTCACTGAAAAGATCTGCATTCCCCACGGGTACAGAGGGCAAAGAAAGTCAAGTGTATGCACTAGACAGAATCTGGGCAAAGTTTTGAGTTAGGAAGAAATGAGGGGGAGGGGAGGGCAGAGGTGCCTGAGCGGCCAGACATTTGCTATCGGGCTGGCGGCCCGCAGACTGTTCATTCAACAAGTATTTAATGAGTCTACTATGTTACCGGTCAAGGGCTAGGCTCTGGGGACACAGTGGTGAGAGGTGACCCCACTGCGTAGTAGCGGGGGGAAAGGACGATAATCAGTGATTGTAGTTGTGTGGCTGTGTCTGGGTGGGGAGTTGATTGGTGACCCTAGGACGGCCACTGGACACCTCTGCTCGGTCACTGCTGACTGGCAGATGCCACCTAGCATCTGGCCAGTGAGTACTGTGTTAGAGACCCACGGAGGGCCTGGGGATGAGGGACCCTGGAATGGGGGCCACCTCCTCCCTTATGGAGGGCACTGACAAACAAATGGTCTTGGTCTCAGGACGGTTCAGTATTGCCCTCTTGCTGTCAAACCCAAGTTTGTGTGCCAATGCACAAAGGGGCCAAACAGACCGAAACATGCATTGGGCACACGCACTTGGCTTCGACAACTCTGAGCTGTCCTGTGTTAAACACTGGGGCAAGAGAGACAGAGTTGTGTGTGTTTAAAATATACAAGTAAGAATTTGCCTTAAAACCATCCAACCAACCAAGAATAGTCGAAACAAAACATCGTAATCAAAAGAGAAACTTCCAGTGTCTGTCTCAAATTCAAGGAAGAAAACACATTTGGAGGTAGGATAGTTTTAAAAAGCCAATTCGAACATTTCAGGGGTCGAGACCATTTAGAATTAACCCCCAACTGAATAGTTAATAAACAGAGCAGCCATTTCTGCAGCACAATGAGGAGGTTTTAAGGTCAAAGCCTACTCTTATCATAGGATTCCTAGGGGCACGTTGTGTCTTACTTCTGTCATTTTCCCCTCAGGCCAGAAGATGGGGGAGAGCGGCAAGCCAGGCCGGGGAATTTCTCCAGCTGAGGAATGCGAGGCCTCTTATCCCACCAAGCTCAGCGCCCAACAGCTTCTGATAAAACTCAAGTAACTGTCAGAAGTGGAGCCCTCGCCCGTTCATCAAGTAAATGGCTTTCTGTTTTCACCATTTAACAAACAGCCACTGGAAACCTATTCTGTATTTGCTACAGACCTCTGTGTGGGGTTTAGAAGAATAGATTCTTGCTCTCAAAAATCTTCAAACTCAGTAGGGAAGACTGCTCAAACGAGCCATTTTAGAGCTATACTGTTACAGAAATTGGGTAAGAGGGACAGAGAAGGGCTTAAGAGGGGACTTCATTTGTGTATGTGTGTGCAGGGGGTGGGGACTGTATCATATGAATTTCTATGTAGACGTATCATAAACTGTCTTATCAGGAATCACTTGGTGTGTTTCTGTGTTCTGCAGTGAACTCCCTTATATGTATATCCTGGTGATTGCTTGGGAATATATCTAGCCGATAAACTTCTGGCACTGGAACTGCTTGGCTAAAGGGGGGACATTTCCAAATTATTTTCCAGGAAGGCAGCACCGTGTCCTGTCCCTCCCTTCTCCTCCCTTCCGCACAGATCCTGCAGGTCCTTACCAGCTGGCTGCAGCAAGCGTCTGAATTTTTGCCAATTCTATATGTGAAGATAGTATCCTGTTGTTGTTTGGATTTGCAGTTATGTTTATTGGATGCTTGTATTTCTTTTTCTAGGGACTGGCAGGTGGTTCTTAGAGGGAACTTGAACTGGAGTTTCCCTCATTTTGTCAACACTGTGGTAAATTGCTGGTTTTCTTGTCTTTCACCAGCCCCTCCCCCTATGCCTTATCCCTCAGACTAGGAGATCCAGAAACCTGGTCTTCTGGAAATCTCGCTTCCCCAGCCTCTGGTGCAGTGTTTGCCTGTGCTGGTTTCCTTTTGGCTAAATCTTGTACCATCTGCCACATTTGTGGCTGACTCAGCGTTACATTTCAGCCTTACTTTCTAAAAGGGAAGGTGAGGCGGGCGTGGACTAGGTCTTTGAGAAGCTCCAAAGGAAAACAAATTGCGCCTCCTAGCCTGAGCCAGGAAATACCACAAAGAACACTCCCTCCCCGCAACAGTAAAGGGGGAAAAAAGTCAATCCTAAGTACTCCAAGCAGTGCCACATTCTGGGCAACTTATTCAAGAGAGTTCACCGTATACAAGATGAGATAGTCCTGATGTATTTACTGGAAAGCATGGTAGGGTAGGGGATTCTGATTTAGACATTTAGACATGACTATAGTTTAGAATTCTCACCAAAATTTTTTTCCTTCCAATCTAATTCAACAAATATTTACTGACCAGCTATATGTGCTGAGCATATTGGGAGAGACAGTGATCTCCAAGATTGGGCTTCTGCTCCCTTTCCCCCTCCCCCTACATAAGATGAGCCCAGTAATCTATGCCAAGTGCCATTTTAGTGTTATGAAAAAACTGTTGATGGGGAAGGAGCAGTCACTTCCTGATCCCTGCTGACCAGGTCAAGGTCAGTGGCCCCTGACAGACAAATGGATGGGCAGACAGACTTCTTGGAGTGAGACTTGGGAAGGCAAGCTGGGGTCCCACTTGGTTTCACAAGACCTGGAGGATCTCATTTTAAAGTGCTTCTTAAGTGGATTTTGTATCTGATTGCATTCAGGCATTCTTCACAGCTCTTAATGGTTTTGAAATGGATGAAATGCAAGTGGAGGGATGAGGGAGGCCAAAGTGCAAAACCCAAGCTGTGTCAGAGATGGGTTAAGGTGCTCCAGGGAGAAGATTTCCTGTATGCAAATGACCCTGGGCCCTTTGAAGTGCACCCCACTCTGGAAACTCTGGAAACCAGGTATTTACTTGGAAGAAAGCTTCGTGGTGCATGTGACTCAATGTTCCAACAGGAATCCTAGACTCAGAGTGGCTGTGAGAAAGCATTCAGTCCCCTGTGGGTATCTGGGTGAGCTTGTGTGTGGAACCCCTTTGGATGTGAGGCAAACATATACACCTCCCCGTGGAGAAGCTGGAGCTGTGGTCTTTGGACTGCGTTTCATGAGTTTACAAGCCCAGCTGGAACTGAATTGCATAAGAAAGTGTTGAGCTCTAAGAAAGTGGCCAGGATTGGTAATAATAAGGCTGTTAGGAGTTGGGCTGCTTCCAGCTGTAAGGGGACACTGGGATGTGCAGACTGCAGGGCACAATCCTATCTGCTGCCCCTTGGGAGCTCAGAAACTGGAAGGTCTTTCTGGACACACTTAGCCCAGCGATACAACAATCTGCACAGAGTGAGTTTAATGCAATAATAATTCCTTGCATGAACATGGTACCTTTTGTATTTTAAAATATTTCCTGGTTCACATCCCTGCCTGTGAATCAGAAACAACAACTCCTGTGGAGCATGCTGAAAATATCGACCCCTGGACCCCTGTCCCAGACTTACTGAGTCAGAACTTCTGAGGGGCAGAGGGGTCTATCCAGGCCATGCCAGTGAGAAGCCAGTCCTCGGTATCACTGCACCAGACTATGCTAATTCTAGATCCTTGCCACTCACAATGTGGTCTCTGGACCAGCAACTTCCACATCACCTGGAACTTGTTAGAGATACAGACTCTCAGCCCTTCTCTGGCCTCTTGCAGCCAACTCAGCATTTTAGTAAGGTCCTGGGTGGTTTGGGTGGAGGGTTGCCATGTAAAATACAGGCCACTCACTTATATTTAAATTTCAGAGAAACAACAAATAATTTTTTAGTATGACTCATGTAGTATTTGAGACACATATTAAAAAATTATTTGCTATTTATCTGAAATTCAAATGTAACTGAAAGTTATTTTCATTTGCTAAATTTCTCGATCCTGTTGAGTGCACATCATTATAGTCTGATGACTATGGCCTGTTCCTCCAATCAGCATCATAAAGGCATCCCATTGTATTTTTTTAAAAATTTTATTTTTATTTATTTATTTTTGGCTGTGTTGGGTCTTCGTTGCTGCGCGCGGGCTTTCTCTAGTTGCGGTGAGCGGGGGCCACTCTTTGTTGCGGTGTGCAGGCTTCTCATTGTGTTGGCTTCTCTTGTTGCGGAGCACGGGCTCTAGTTGTGGCTTATGGGCTCAGTAGTTGTGGCTTGCGGGCTCTAGAGCGCAGGCTCAGTAGTTGTGGTGCACGGGCTTAGTTGCTCCAAGGCATGTGGGATCTTCCCGAACCAGGGCTCGAACCTGTGTTCCCTGCATTGGCAGGTGGATTCTTAACCACTGCACCACCAGGGAAGCCCAATCCCATTGTATTCTGAATGCATTTGTGGGAAAAAATTTTTTCCACTTAAATATGATTAAGCTTTTGAATGTTTCTCCCTCTTATAAATTGGAATGGTATTCAAGTAGAATGTGAACTGAAACTGCTTTTTCAATTTATATTCTTTAGTTGAGGATACCAGAAAAAAAAAGAAAACAAAATGCAAACTAAACATTAATTACTAACTAGGTAACTTACATTATTTATCAAAAGAGAAACATAATATGAAAATTCTATCCTAAGTAATAAAAAGCACATCTAACATTTTAGAGGTATGATTCAATATAGTCACAAAGATTAATTTGAGCCCCACTGACTTAGTATACAATTAAAAATGGTAATTTAATTAAAATGTCAACAAACAGAAAATGTTCCATTATGGAAATAGTCCTTCAGAAATCAAACTATTTTGTAATTAGAGTTATTATGTATATATTAGACAAAAGGTGTTTTTCTGTTGTAGGGTGAAGGTGTATGAGGAACTGTGGCCGTGAAGGGGCACCAAGGGGTTGTGTAGGCACGACTGCTGCTTGTTAACTGTCATGTTGTCCCACTGTTGGATATCAGGAAAACATATTCGCCGAAATAGTAAAATCTCTAAAGAGAACCTAAACTCACATATGTTTTAGGAAATTAATTTCTTAAATTAAATAAAATTAAGAAAAAAATGTAAGGATGAAATCAAGACCTTGGACATCTGCTTCAAATACTGAAAAAAAAAATACATTTCCTTGGTCATATGGCTTTCTCATCCTGCTTTCAGTTTGGTTTCCAGCTTAGCGGGCTAAGAATATGTCACCCTTTGCCTTCTCTGACCTGTTTTTTTTTTTAGCACACTTCAGGATGTCCAATGTTGAAAGGCCCCCCCGCCACCTGCAGGGAGGTGCAGATAATCCCGGGTTATATGGCTCAGATTGGCCGGCACATCGTTTACGCTGTGACAAGCCCTCCCCGCCCAAGTCTGTTTTGTCTCACGCTGGGCTGAGTCACATAGAATAGATAGATAGTTTATCAGCACATGTCCTACAGATCATATTATCAGCCTACAAACATAGCCCATTAGCACACAAGCCGGGAAGCTGGGGCAGTTGGAGCGCTTCTGGCCCCAGTGTGTCGCTGCTGCGGAGTAAACAGGCTCGGATTCCACTCGGCAGGCAGCGGCAGGGGCTCAGGGCTGCAGCCCATTCACGGGTAGGTGGGCGTGGGGGGTGAGTGCGCGGCTGCTCCTGAAACTGGGGGATTGTGGGGAAGGCGAGGGAAGGGGCATGGGGCACCTGTGGAGGGGGCGGGGGACAGTGCTTCCTTGTTTATGTCTGTCCCTGCGGTGCTGAGGCTTGACGGGGGTGAACCTCCCAAACGAACACGGATTGAGGATTATGCAGGGCCTGGAATTGAATGCGGAAGGAGAGCCTGTGAGTGGGCAGGTCTAGGTAGCCGGGCTGCTGCTGTGGCCGGGTCTCCACACTCCGGCTCTTGTTAGTGGGTTACTCTCAGCATCACCCTTGTTCCCAAGGCTGAGCTCAAAACTTTCTGGTCCACAGTGCTGTCCAGGGGTGATAAATCAACTCTGTTTGTGCTTCTTCAGTGCCCTGAAAGGGATGATTGACATCTGGCCGGGGAAGTCTGTCCTCCAGGAGAGGCGTGGGGGTGAGGGTGGGAGAGTGATTAGAACCCAGAAGAGAATTGTCTGGTTTTGTAAGCAGTTTGACTGTGCTGGTGGCTCTTCTTTTATACATACATACATACATATATATATATATTTTTTTGGGGGGGCTACGTTGGGTCTTCGTTGCTGCGCACGGGCTTTCTCTAG